AGGACAGAAAAAATAACTTGACCTCACAGAAGGATTGGTTGTAGGGGTAAAGGCCTGCAGAGAAAGTTCAATATTTTCTTGTGTGGCATGAATGGAATGGTGTATTCTTGAAATAAAAATCAAATAACAACTGCCTTGGTCAATTATCATCTTTAGGTGGTGCGAGAGCATTTGGAGATTCAAATCCAGACTTGTGCTTTACTATCTGCTGAGCAATTAAATTGCAAAAAACTTAAATGTACATGTTCAAACTTGATAAAAATGGAAGTAAGTGAAAATACAAATAAATACATAAATAAATTAAAAAAATAAAAAAATAAAGTAAAGGCAAGTACTATAGTGAGGTTATTCCTGCTAATCAAGTTATGTTTTTTTCAAATGTGCTCTATTCTTTCATGAAATCATTATTTTTTTTAATTCTATTAGACAATAATAATACATTTATTGTACATGTCACTCACTGTTTTAAACTCCTACTGGGCACAGTGTGGTACTTGTAATTGTGATGTCTGCTTTTCATCTATATTACCTGAAATAGCATCTTTTCTATTCTACTTGAACTGGTATCTTTAAAGGCAAGGCTGTCTTGTGCTCTAGTATCTTAAATGCACATGATTAAATACATAAACAGGAAAGACTTAAAAAGAAAAAGAAAATCAAACAGCTGTGTGTTGGTAGCAGCAGCTGCAGTAATGTCCGGCAGCTCGGAGAAAATAATATTTCCCTTTCCGAGGGTTCGACTTGCTGCGCTGAATGCAGTCACAAACGCTTCATTGTGTCTGACGAAAAGACAGTGAACTAACCAACATCTTCAGATCATAAACCACAGTGATGTCTGTGTGCTGCCAAATTGCAAACACATAGGAATGTTACAGAAGCATTCCTAAACTCTGAAGGCATGCTCTCAGGCTGCGCTCCACCTGTGAAAAAACAGAAATTGAGCAACAGCATACAACAGCGAAGACAGTGCTGAGTTGAAATAACATCTTGATTTTTCAAAAATCAATTACCTTAGAAGAAAAACAAATTTTAAGTTAATTTCCCTCCCTTTTTAAAATAGACACAACTTTTTTCACCCTATTGACTCAGAAAAGTTGGTTTAATAACCATTGAATGTCAGTGAAAATCAAACCTGAATATTTTTTAATGTACAGTGAAACACAAACAAATGAGAGTACTAGTTTTGATGGATGATTGCATGTTTAGAAAAATGTTTTGACAACTAATTTTACAAAAAGCAAAGCTACAGTATAGTGGTTCATGATTTCTTCAGGGACATACCAAAATAGAGAGAGGCCGAGAGAAAGCAGGAGGAAAAGGACTTTTTACATTCTGTTTGGCTATCAATACCACACTATTCCATGTGTATTGGGATAAATAAATACTTCTGTTATTCATGCTCTCATCTACTGTTCGTTACAGTGTAATGTCACAGGGCATCTAAAAACAAATACATTTCATTGTGCCACCCTTTAACAGTCTGTGCCCCTACCTGCCCCCGATTTAAAAAATCCTAGACATGCCCCTGTCTTTATTATCATATCTAATCATAGGGGTTTTTTTTATATCAAGGAAAGGCACGCACAAAGAAGATTATATGGGTCCTTCCCATCTGTACAACAATGGACCTCACCAGTCGGAACTTTAGGCCAGGTTTGTGGCTTGTGGTGCTGAATTCATGGAGGTTCGAGAAAATATGGGGAGCGTACACTGCCAGTGGTTTGCTATTGTTCTGTTTTCTAGTTTTGTTTTGTTAGCTGTGATGAAGAGCTGCCATTTTGAGGCTTTGTATTTTGCATTTTCCTTTTTTTTTTTTTTTTTTTGGATACACTTTCAAGCATAGCTAAAGTGGTTGACTGACTTGGGATCGTGTCTGTATATGCCTGAGATAAACAGTGGGCAGCAACATTTCTGTTGAGTGTTTATGCTGTTGTCTGTATCAGATTTTTCGATGAGTACAAGAGATGACCAAAAATAAATGACCAGCCACACATTAACATTCAATCAAGTGGAACAATAACAACAAGGAAAAACATATTTGGTGCTATTTAATGTTTCTCACTGTTTTAACTTGTGTCTATCAAGCATCATTGTTCTGTAAATTTGAGATTATATTGTATGATGGATGACCAAATTGGATTTGCAAGAATCCAACTCTTTATGTGTACAGCACAATATTTGTATTGTTGGAAAACTCCCTGTGTCAATATTAAATACCCAAAGTTAACAAACATAATCATGATTACAGTTTCCTTTTTATGATATTTCTATAGACTCCTTGTATTCAAATCCAGATTATATCATTATCATAGGTTTGAGTCAAATTTGCATGGCTAACTTTTTGAGCAATCTACATATTGGGGATTACTTTTTAAAGTGGACCTTGGGAGGCATTGCAAAAAAAAAAAAAAAAACTGAGGATGTTAGATCTCTTGATTTTTGCAGATGCCGGCTTTCAATAAATCATCACAACACACTATATTTTAACAAGATGAAAAAGCGCATCTGATATGGCCGTGTGCCAGACTTCAAACCTGGTTCCGAAGAGCACATTGCAATCATATTTGTTTGCAAAGTCTGTTTCCACCGTGAAAAAAGTCAGTCCTAGAAGGCTAACAATGCCGACTTTGTCAAATCTGTTATATACAATCTGTGTCAGTCCTCAAAATATGTATCCTCTTCACTTTATAAATGCCAGCTTATGCAAAGCTCCAGATTTGGCTCTTGTGACCTTTATTAGAGCTGATAGCGGCAGCCATGGATACAAGGGAGCTCCATGCTGGCACAACAAAGGCTAGTAGTGGGGCTAGATTACAGATCTATGTGATAGAAGGTAAGTGAAAATGACAAGCGAGTATTATTCCTCACTGATGTGATAATTACCTGCAGCCCGACTGCCCGAGAAAGGTTATCTCGCAAACAGACGACCGGTATACGCTCTGAGAAAACCTTCAGTGCAATGCACTAGTTTGTCCATCATTTTCAAATCCGCAACGCCTTAAAAAAAACAGTTTATGTGACAATGACGAGTTGGATAAACCGATAATCTATAAAAAATCGTGTCACATTCCCATAGGGCTACTTTCAAAAGTCGATGAATTTCTTTGAAAAGAAAGATGGTGTTAAATCAGGGTCAGCTTTCAGCTTTCAGAATGATTTTTGTTTAAGACACTGGTCAAAGCTTATCAAGAGACCAACGATGCTGGGGATCGTTGATCGTACATTTTCAAGGGAAAAGTCACTATAAATAGGTTCGAGATTGTCTTCACTGACGGCGAAAATAATGACTTCGTGAAATCGAATGATGTTTCCATCTGGTTGGTTTGAATTAAAAAGAAAAACATGGTCCCTTGTAAAGATTTTAGATTATCTTTTTTTCTAATTTGACGCAGGCCAAAATTATATCAGATGACAGCATAATCCGACATCATTATCAACATCAAAACGAGTTTGACTCTTGGAACTGATGGCCGCACGGCTTTCTGTAACGCGATGATATGGATTACACGTTGGAAAACCGACCTTGGGCTCTTCTCACTTTATGTGCCTGCCAGTCGAAAAAAACAGTGATGACCGCATGGGTTGCATCACTGCCAAGTAAAACCCAAATATCCCTCTGATGATTAAGGTCACTCATACACCGCACTACAGAGCTGTCCTCAAATAAGCCTCAGAGAGCAGGGGGGAGTAGGGGGGGGGGGGGGGGTAGGTTGACTGTAAGGACTCCTGTTAGTCTTGATGTCTTGATTTGTAGGAATCTCCAGGTTCTTTCTTGCCTCACCGTGGCAACTGGACAAATAGACAAATAGGACCGTGCGGACCAAAAAATTGTTCGTTCCCAAGCGGCCTGACCTGTTGTTGACTTTGATTTGTGTGTCATTAAGAGGTTTAAGCTTGCTTCATGAGTTTATCCCGGGATCACGGAGGGATCTGCGGAGCTCACCGGTCATTTGCTGTCAGTATCCCAAAGGCTCAGATTGTGAGGGCTTCTTTGCTCCGAATATGCCGAAAATGTGTTGGACTAATTTGGCTTTAGGGGGATTGTCTGAATATTAGTCCACTCATCCAATGGATTATCTCATAGCCGCGACCAGCACACTGCACATGGTAAGATCTGTCAAATATCCGTACATGTCTCACTCCCCCCCCCCTAATGTGTAGCTCCCCTCGTAGCAGTGCTGGTGACTGTGAGAGCTTTTGGGAGCGGTTCCCTGGTGAGATAAGCCGAACTGTACAGACGCGGTGCGTATTCACTTAATCTGATGGCAACATCAGGTGTCAAATTCAAATGTAAAAACTCGCACTGATTCACGCGCACGCTGCAAAAGTGGTTTCACGATAACGTTACGGATTCGCAGGCACAAAAGTAGAAAAAAAAATAGGGTTTTTAAAAAAGTTATATAACAAAAGATGACATGTTGGTTCCCTGCACCGGCATTCAAATGACCTAACGCGACACACAGATAAAGAAAAAAAATTCAAAACTTGTATTTACATTTCAAATATTCCTTTCCCGTTGTCATTATAACCGTCCACTAATTGTCTCTCCAGCTGAAACACGACTGACCTTCCTATTGGCCGTGCCATGTCGGACGGACAGCTGGTGTGATGTAATGACGGCCCCTCCGCCGGACAAGTTATAAAGAGCAATATCCAGTTCCATGGATTGAGATAATCTTAGGTAGATTAATGCTGTGGGACACTGAAATGTTTGTTGTGTAAAAGCTCTGTTTAGACAACAATGTGTCATTGCTGTATATGAGAAACTCTGATCTGACAGATGGCCCGAAGCTCTAAGAGTTCCTTCATGTTAAAGGCACGGCTAGTCTACGGTTTGCGTCCCCGTGGCTTAATGGGATTTAGGCTCTACGTTCAAATGAATTCTATATAGGAAAACTGGGATTATTTTACGGGCCGTTTAATCTCTCTCATCTCTCTCTCTCTCTCTCTCTCCATTTCCCTCTTTTCTGTTTTTTCAAAAACTCAAGCCTGTCCCACGGTTTTAGCATTCGCGGAAAAAGTGGAGCGACTCTGAGTGCTACAATCAATGAACGCTAGAGCGCAGGCGGCCTATCAGCTCCGAGTGCCAGATAGATGCCCTGTGGACCGTTTTCCTCCGACGTGAAAGCGCGCTCAGTCAATTTGACTCACTTCAGCCCGGTAGCCGTGCCCGCCTTTCCAGAAGCGTTTCACCCATCCCGCACGACAGGGACAGACACGAGGCTTCCACCAGAGCTTCCGCCGCCACGGCCAGACACAGATCCACTATCCTCTTTTGCTGGGAAAAAAAAAAACAGTTTCATCCCTCCGAGCTTTAGCTGCCACTCAGGGGAAAGACTCGGGCACCAGTCAGCCTCGGCATCTCGGATCTACCAAGCAAACTCGCCAGACAAATAAAAAAAAAAACCTCTGGTGGAGACACTCTTCGGAACCCCCGGGAGAGGTCCCATCACTTCCTGATCTGGACGCCGAGCTGAAGATTCGCCGCGGCCACCACCTGAGTCCCGACAGATCCCCATCATGCCTCACTCCTTCCAGCAGAAAAAAGGTGAGACTTCTATCCTCTGTCGGCGTCGGTTAAGAATTAAAAGTGACAAAAACTCTACACTTTGTGTAAGATGTAAGAACGTGGAGTGCAGCGAAAGGATAAACAAACTCCTGCCTTTCGCCTTTGGTGAGCTCAAGCACGCTCTAATTTTGTCTGAAAATTTGATGTCTAGCACTGGGGCATAGCGCTTTGCAAGACAATAAAATGCATGATCAAATCTTTGTGAAAACAGACCGCAAACGTCCACCTCTATATGTAATTCCTATTTTTCATGATGTTCTGAATGACTGATTGACGTCTTTTAGCTGTATAAAGTGCACGCATCTTCAATCTTTTAATAACTTATAAGCCTGAATATCTCCGTGTCCCTTTTTTTTATAACAGTTTTTGTACCCAGTCACAACATTGTACCTCAGTAAGATGGATGGCTGCCAAACACTTACTTCATACAAAGGCCAGAGTCTTTGGCTTCCTAACAGCCACTTTGATAAATCTGTATATTTCCATACAGCTTTTATGTTGGTCAGCTAATCTTAGAGATTTAATCAATGAGCCGCTGAATCGCTTTTTCTTTCGTAACAAGCATGCAAACTAACTATAAAAGAAATACAGTGAGCTCATTTGTGATAAAACAACTGACATCTGATAAGCAAATGGGAGTACTGAATCTCGCTAACTAAATAATGTCCTCACGGGCTTTATCAACAGTATGTAAAAACATGTAAAGAAGACTTTTAACATGAGACGGGGCTGATAGGAGCACTTTGAGAGAACTTTGTGATTCAGTTCTGATTTTTTTGCGCCAACTTCACACCACAGGAATTTTCTCTCGCGCGCACAAAGAACACAGAAAACAAAGGTGAGTACTTTAGATGAAAGACTGTTACGCCATCCGTGGGCTCTGGAAAAGCCAAACTTTCTAACTTTTTCATGTTTTAATTAGCATCCAACTGATCCTCAGCGCGAATTGAAAAATTCTGGTGGGCTGCTTTTCTGTTCGGTTGACGTGTGCCACTTTAAGAGAGAATCGCTTGTGGTCTTTTCCGTTCAGAACACATTCATTTCTTTCTTTCTTTTTTTTTTTTTTGTGAAGCAGATATCAAAAGTGGCTCCGTGCATGATGAGGAGCAGATAATGATGTAAATGTGGCGAGCTGGCAGAGTCAAAAACTTCCACCTGCCATTTCCTGGGCAGTGGAGTTGCTTTTTAATGAAAGCAGTGGGATGCAGCCACTGTTACTGAGACAAGAGCACAATCAAAAAATACAGTTCACAGCAAAAAATGCATCTTAATGAGAGCTGACGGTATTTGGGTTGATTTGTTTCTAGCAAAAATAAAAACCGTGGGAGGCTTTTCTGAATACGGAAAAAAGAAAGCGCTGTGTTTGTTTATTTATTCATTTCAATGTCTCTTCATGTATTAAAGGAAATAACAGCCTGTTTCATGTGAAAATGAAATCAAAATAGATTAGTATTGGGTCAAATTTAAGGAGAGAAATTAAATAAAATAGGATTTTTTCCTTGTTTGCAAACGCCCATGTGTATTTCATACATTATTCATACATTTCCCGTGATATTTTATTTAGATAAAATACTGTAATTATCTCCTCCTGAATCCATGTAAGCACACACAGGTTGAGGTTTGTTTTCTTTTTCTTTTTTTTTTTAAACTTCTGGGGCTTGGTGGAATTGCTTTCATTCTGGCCTAGGATTTATATTCTATATTTCACATAGGATTTAAGGCGTAGGACTGTTGGTGGAAATATGAGGGTTAAAACCTGTTTCTCTCATGGCGAACTCGTCCTCATCTCCTGTGTATGCATGTTTGAAAAGAGGAAGGGAATCTGACCTCCCATCTCGGAACGTGCTGTAATTAAAAATGTAGATGTCTTTGGTATGAACTTTTACGGTGCCCTAACAGAGATTACATTCATATTTTAGGTTTTTTCTTTGCAGTACAGGAGCTACAGAGAGGGACGCCTTAAGTGGTTGCACTGTTGATGCTTGTGCATGGTTTAGTTGAACCTTGACCTGGAGCGAGCTCTGTGAAGTTCCTGTTTAACCAGCCCTGTAAACTGGTGTTAGCTGTTGACATTATATCCAGACAGCAACTTTGACCAGGCAGTAAAAAAAAAAAATAAAAATAAAAAAATTAGTAACATAGGAGAATTCGATGAGCTTGACATCAAAATTTAGCCAAGGGAAAGAAAAACTAGCATGGAACAAAACAACATCCCCATTGCGGGCCTGAATCCGTGAGAAGTGGATCTCCCCAATACATTGCAGCAGTTCTGGTGTTATTCCTTGGGTTTGGGATCGAACAGACAAAGAATTCAAACTGGTTCGGCAGCTTCGAGTGTTGGCTGTTTACATCACATCACACTCAGTGACGCTGGAAATTTCCACTGCTTCTGTGAAAATACGCTTACAAATGTTATCTCTGTTTTTCTAAACTGCAAAATGAAATTTGGGAACTTGGTATTTTGCCGGAACTGCACTTTAAACAAAAACTAATTTTTCTTTTTTTCCCCCTAAGACGAAAAATTCACGTTTTCCTGCTGTGTCATCCACAACTTGGAGTCTGATTATCCAAATTTTGTAGAAAAAAAGAAAAAGAAACAACCAAAGTCTAGAGAATACCATAGAATAAAATGTATATAATGTTTGCGATGCACTAACTCTTAACCTATACTGTTTAGTTTTCAGGTCTAATCACATAATCAGTATTCTAAGTCAATTTCTCCAACTATGTGAGACATGTACTCTTGGGGGAATTTCCACTGTGCAGTAAACAGGCATGTGCCGAACATAAAAAAACCCCAAAAAAATGCAGTGATACAAGAAACACATCCAGCCCATCACAATCCACTGCTTGGAGCCAACGAGCGAATGTTTTGACAGTAAAGTAGAAGAAGGGGGTTGATTCCGACAGATGGTTCTTATTGGATCATTATCGAGGGTGGTGCAAAGAAATAAGACCCTCTTGTTTACCATTCGAATCGCTGCTCTAGAGCTTACTGTCAAAGACAGGAATCCCTCTGTTAAGAAACTAAACTCGGCCCACGTGGAGGCACGTAAACAAAGCTTTGAAACTGATCCATGCAGAAGTTCTCCCAAATTTAACAACCTCTCCACATGCAGGCCGGAACCGCGGCGTGTTTTTTTTTTTTTTTTTTTTTGCCGCCCTGAAGCGTCTGAACTGAAAAAACAGAAACATGAGCAAACGCCAAAAAGAGAGCACAGGTTTTAGATGGCGATGGGTGCATGCTTTTTGCGTTTTTGTGGAAGAAACCAAGCCGTCATCCAGCAGATGGCACACTGACGAGAGGCTCCTCGCGGTATGCGTGGAAAATTCCGCAAAGTTCGACTCTGCGGGCTACATTCCTGGCTCTTCTCAGCTGGCCCTGAGAGAGTCCTGAATCTACATGCTTTGATTTGTACTAAATTGGAATTCCAGCCCTCTAACACGCCACCGCTCTGACTATGACCTTAACGTGTAGCTTTCCACAAGCTAGATGGGTGAACTCAAGGCTGTCCACAGAGGCACTCGCTAGAAACTTATTCCAAACTTCGAAAGCGTAGCTTCATTTTTGTAGGATCACAACAAAACCCAACCTTAAACCAGGCTTTGACACCTGCAGAGTCTTTTTATCGACCACCTAAGGCGCTAAAACACATGTATAACTTATGAATGCAAGTTTTGAGGGGAAGAACCTGTGAAACTCTCTAAATATAGAGTCAGATTGGTCATTTGTAATCACGACGCTCCTCTAAAGACGAGTGTGAACCTCAGAGAGCTCTTTACCTCGGCCAATTTAGAGCTGCTGATAATCTCCCCGTGTGTGTTTAACCTTGTAAAATGGGATAAAAGACAACTTTCAACCCAAAGCGTGCACATGTGGAGAGGCACACACCAGCTTTTTTTTCTTTTTGCGAGCAGACACGATTTTTTTTTTCTTGAGAATATGATTTGTCTGTTTGTTAATTTAAAAAAAAAGGAAAAAGCATGAGGCAGTCTTCCAAAGATGGAGCCCCCCTGCACAGGAGGTCTTTTGAAGTGTATTTTTTTACAGCGTGCTCACTCATTACACCTTGTGTTCTTTAACAGCTGTTATAAATGGCGCATGCTGTGCTTGTCTGTTTTCCGGTGATCCCTGCAAATAGCTGATCAAGGAAATTGTATCAATACGTACAATAGGACGTGGGGAACAAGTCTTTTCGTTGACGAACGCGTTGAAATCGTTGCACAATTCGCACCTGCAGTTATGCTAGGGTTTGGCAAAGAGAAACTGAAGTGTGGGCAAAAAAAAAAAAGGGAGAGTAGGGAGAAAAAAAAAAAGCTTCCAGGATGCATGGAGTTAAAAAAGTGAAACTTAACAATATAAAAAAGAAATTCTTTTAGAGAAAGGAACTAAAAAGACCTCTGTAGCTAACAGCATTATCTGTTTGGTGTTACAGCGCGGTTGCATCATGCCTCTCAGAACAAAACTCCGCACTCACATCTTTGCTGACAATGAACACTGAAGTTGGCAGAAATATGCTGTGAAACGAGACAAAAGTGTGCAGTTTGTGAAAAAAAAAAGGAAAGAAAAAAAAGAAAAGTGAGGCAACCTCCGGGCCCCGGGGCTTTTGTCACTGGGCATTTCTATTCAGTGACCTATCATGCACCGAGAACTAAAGCTAAGAGGTGTTTCACACTGTGTCGCTGGTGTGCGAGATGCTTTTAAAATGCGATGCTGTTAGCGACCGACCAGACTCCAATCGCAGTCACGGTCACGGTTAGTCCTCCTTCAGCCGCGATTGTTTCTGACAAAGATGCTTAGACCCCGACGGCTTGCTTAATTATACACCCTGAACGAAGATCAAGGGATTAGCTGATACCCCCCGCTCATTGTGTGATAATACACTCCCAATTGGCTCAGACTGGGGGCATATTGATCAGCATCGCTGCACTCTTCCTCTGCCCCCTGTGTAAGTGGGTCATTTATTTTTGAAAAAAAAAAAATTGGATAAGGAAAAGTTTGCCAAGGATTTGCAGTAATTATCTCATCCTTCTATAGCCGGGCACAGCATGAGGCCTTGGTAAATTACATTTCTCTCTCCTAACTCCTGGATGGTTTATGGCCGTGCATTATGCATAACGGCGCTGGAGCGCCTTCAACATCCCCCAAGTGGATTGAAATAAAGTTGACGCTGCTCTTTGTTTGGAGCTCAACGCAGTCTTTATTTGGCAGTGCTGAATCGGAGATTGTTGTAAAAAAGTGTTCGTCTTAATTATTTTGGAGACTTATCCCCCACACCCCCAGCCCCTCCCTCCCTCCTCCCCCTCATCTTCAATCTCCCCGATGGTTTGCGAACACCTGAAGTGTTTTTAGTGGGATGCCGGATCCAGATTGGGCGGATGCTCGGGCAATCCAGAGGGAGATGTCACTTGCGTTAAAGCAGAGTGTGTTGCCATACGTTGGGCTGAAAACAACAAAAAAAAAGAACGAGACAAAAAAATCACAGCCTGTTGTTCACAGGATGACAAAGACATAGGTTCACTCAAATGCCATCACAACTTTTTTCTCTCTCAATGTGTCTTATTAAATGAAGAGAATGACCAAATGGTATCTAAAAAGATCATAAACTTTCAAGATAGCACAAAAACCGCCTGAGTGGATGTAAAAAGACATTTAAATTCTCCTAAAAACAAAATCAACATCCACTTTAGTAGCCACGTTGCTCCGGCACTAACTAAATTGGAGTCTGCTTTAATTGGCACATGCATCTTTAAAGTTATAAACACAGAGAAACAAATCTGACCACTTGAACTGTTTTCAGCTGTTGATGCATTTAGAAGAGAGAGTTTTGAAACTCATTGGACACTTTCACTGTTGAATGCACTCCCACATATCTGACATTGCGTTTGATTTTTTTCTGTGTTCTCCAGCCCAACAAATGCTCCTGCTCTGCCAAGGAGTGAACGGAATGAGAAAAGACGGGGAATCTGTGGTTTGGAATCACCACAAACAGGGTTTCCAAGGTGAGTCACTGACAGTAAACGTGTGCCCACATCTCATGAGATGAATGCGACTTCTCGGTCGCCGTCATTTGCATCTTTCAACCAAGAATCGGAATCCAACTATCCGACTCTCCCAGCTGCAGGGACGAGACAAAGCGACACAGTTCGCCTCGTCTTAGGAGTGTTTTATTCCATGTAGTCACTAGTTTGATGATAGTATCCGACTAGGAAAGAACCAACTAAATGTTACTATGAGATGTTAAAAAAAAAGGTCCTGGCTGATGCTCTTCTCTGAGAAATGATGCAATGCATTGCACACATGGCTTGATTAAATGGTAGGATGGGAATAAAGCAATGGATTCTTTTATTTTTCCTGGAATCTTGCTTTTATTCTGCATTTGTAAACGTTCTCTTCCACTTGACATGGACAACCTCTGCCACATCTTCACTCCCTTTTACTTTAGAAAATAGAATAACTCCAGGGAATTAATTCCACACACAAGTCATACTTGTAAAAAGGAGCAGCATTCATCCTAAACTCAGCCACATAGACGTTTAACACCAAAAGAGTACAGACTTGACCTTGTTATATTTTTTCCTTTGTTTGTTTTACGAGTGCAACAGGTTACACACAATTTCAAACATTAACAAATTCATAACCAGGGACTTCAGTCTTTCACGTGGGCTTATATGGTTATTTTTGTTATAAGTGCCACGCAAGAGGCAACAAGTAGCCTGTTCTAAGCAGACCTTAAATCGATACAACGCAACTCCAAACAGTTTGTTGTTAACAGAAAGTAACAAAATCATCCGGTCAATGCGCACAGAGACACCCAAACACGCGCGACTGTTCGTTTAAAAAGATAACTTAGCCGTTCGCGGAGGAAAAACAGCCCCATCCAAACGCTCCATGACTGCGAACAGACCTGCGAATAATACATCTATTGCTGCTTTCTTTTTTCAACAAACCCTATTATTCGTCTAAGTCTAAGAAGTTGACATACCTGCAAGAAAATCTCGCTAGAAAAATGTCAACGGGAACGGCACGCCTGTCAAAAGCACCTGTCCTTTGGACTAATTCTTTGTAGACTACTGTTCATATAGGCTTTGTGTGTTAAATGCAACGGGGAGGCAAAGACACGATACATTTGCTTAAGTCATGGAATATAAATTAGTTCTGAGAATTTCTGGGGGCTGGGTTAAAAGAATCAGTGACGTCGCCTGTCCGACGTCCTCTGACTGTGGACTATACCAAACGTAGGGGGATTCGGATTTTCACACAGCAATTGACTCCGTTATTTCTTAAAAATATACCAATATCTAGACTAATTTAAACAATTAATTTATATTTCTACCACTTTAAAATCCGAGAGGCACAATACATGTCGGACAAGTAGCTTTTAAAGACATTTGTTTTTATACTTAGAGAAAAAGACGTCTCTCCCCTGCTGTGGAGGAGTGGTACTTTCTCGGGCTCAAATTCCGAGAATTGTGCTCGTCTGATTCTTAGAACTGGGGTTCTTAGAAGTGGTGATGCAAGAAGTTTCTAGGAAAGCGCTACCAGGTGATTTTTTAAATTCCATTTTTCCTCTAATTTGGCGCGAAGTTGTTATATCTACTGTGTTCTGTTGGTGCTTTAGACGTTCATTGAATTTGTGCCGGTGAAATGTTCGGGAAGCAAGGTGTATAACGTGAGAGACTGTCAGCGGGAACGGTGCTGAGTCGAAAACTCTGTAGGGGCTGCTGTGGTGACAGCCGGAGCGCCGCTGTCTTGACAGATAGGCTGCGCTGGTGAACCAGCGGCGCGGGCACCTCTCCGCTATCTCGTCTCTTTTTCGCGCTGACACTCAATTTTATTGATTAAACCGTAATAACACTCCGGTTAGTTAAGGAAACCGGTGGGGGAAATGAGGCTTGTTGGCGTCGGCTGCGGTGCCCGGAGTCCGGGCTGTAGGCACACGGGCTCGGATGGATGTGGCTGTGTTGAACCGCTCTGATTTGACGCCGCTTGGTGCGTTCAAGTGTCAACACTCATTGGCGCCGTGGCACGCGCGCGCTGTCACACGAACTTTGCTGGCAGCATGGCAGCCGCTTGTTCGGGGTATTTTTTTTTTTTTTTTTTACTACGCGGTGGCAGCGAATGTAATTTGCTCTAATGGAGCGCAAAAAAGGCTGCGCCGAACAAACCCTTCTGTTACCGTAACATTGTTGCGGAAATGTGTGTGTTGGGGGGTGTGTGTGTTTTTTTCCGTGGAACAGGCTACAAGTTCTGTCTCTTTTTTTTTTCCACAGTGACTGGGCTGTTTGACAAGCTAGCAGCACAACTACGCGAAGTTTAGTGATTTCACCAAGAAAAAAAGCACAGCTCTGCTTTTGAGCTTAGTGCAGACTGTTAAAAAAATCTTTCCCCGGCTGAGAATTTAGGTCGAAACTAAGCTGAGGAACCAAGACAGTCTATTTAGGGCATATAGAGCCGTAGATAAAGTTTTTTTTCCATTCTGTTTTATTTTTTAAAGTGTCGACCATGACTGAAAATATGCATTGCCATTTAAATGTAGGCTTCACTGTCACTAAAGCAGGAGGACATTTCGCCCGCAGTCCTCGTTAAAGCTTTCCTAAAACTTGAAGTAGACTGTTTTTGTTTTTATTATTATTATTTATTACAGTGTTAGCAGGTAACACAGGTCTGTTTTAGGTGTTCTGGATCTATTTATGGTGGTGTCCGGTTACAGACATTGCTCTTGACATTGAGTTAAATATACGGTCATAAATCCGGTAGAATACTTGAAAGAAAAAAAAACAACGTTTTCCGATAACGGTTTAATCAGTTTTAACTTTCGCTCCCATAAATTTAATTGACCCAGAAATGTAGCGCAGCTTATTGAAGCGGTGTCTTCTTTCTGGACTTTACAACTCTGTCTCTCTCATTTTTTCTCTCTCTCCTTCTCCAATCACAGCAAACAGTTACTTTTAACCTTGTTACCTACAGCGGGTCATTTAGCAAACTGTCATGGCGAGGACATCTTGCGGTAGAAATTTGAAATAGGATTTCTGTCTGTCTTTCTTTTTGGTTTGTTTGTGTCGGTCTGTGAGAAGTTGTCAGAGATAAGTCAGCTGCTTGCGGACATAATTTCCCCCAAATTCTCCAGCCTGTCACACATGAGCTGTTAGGGAAGCCGAGCCGTCTGAACTTTCTTCCGCTACATTCTAAACGTAGAAAAGAAGAGTCCTTTATCTCCCTGACGGGAACTACCCAAAACATGCTATAAAAAAAAAAATAAAAAAAAAACTTAACCACAAACTTAACCCATTAATTTTTTTTAAAATGTATGTTGACTTAATATTTTTCTCTCTTTCTTTAGATTTCTGTTATTTATTCTTTTATTAATGATTTTTGTGTTATCATAAGAACTAAATTTGTTATGTTATACTGTCAAACAGTTGTTTCTATCAAAGTGAGGGAAGAAAATTTGTTTTAAACTGGAAATTGAGACGTCTGGGTGTTTAATTTGTTTGTTTAATAAATGGCGCCACCTTTTGGTGATGTGTGAATCTGCCTTTTTTCCTACTTTTATTGAACCCAGTTAATTTATATATACATAACCCCTTCTCTGTCTGCATAAAGCTAATATGTACTTTATGCAGTTTCAGCAGAATCCATTTGGGCACTTTCTTATTTCAAATGATGTTTTCTCTCCGGCAGAATTCGACAAAATGGCTTGCGCAGCAGACAGCTGCATACAGTTCACGCGCCACGCAAGTGATGTGTTGCTCAACCTGAATCGGCTGCGCAGCAGAGATATTCTCACAGATGTCACTATCTTGGTTAACAGACAGCAGTTCCGTGCGCACAAGACTGTTCTAATGGCTTGCAGGTGGGTGACATTTCATCCAAGCTTGTAGCGCCTTTCTTTTGTTGCTTCTTGCACGAAGATCTGTCTTGCTTTTTTACACTCATGGGTCTTTTTCTAATAAATTTTTTGCAGTGGGTTGTTTTACTCCATCTTTACCGACTCCCACAAGTGCAACCTTAATGCCATCAGTCTCGACCCGAAAGTGGACCCAGAGGGCTTTGCCATCCTGCTGGAGTTTATGTACACCTCCCGACTCACACTAAAGGAGAGCCTGATCATGGCCATCATGAATACCGCCATCTACTTGCAGATGGACCATGTGGTAGACACCTGTCACAGATTTATCAAATCCAGGTGGGTAGAACAAAAGCGCCCTCACAATTCAGAGAGTTAAAAAAAACCCGGTCGTCTGCATCTGTGAGTTTACACACGTCTCGCTTTTCTTCACAGTGATCCGACTGCCAAGCTGCCCAGAGATGAATTCCTGGTCAGCCCCTTGGTTTTACCTCAGGAGGTCCACGCTTACCGGCCCCATGACGTCGTCGACAGTTTGCACAGCCGCATGGCTCCGTTCAGGGATGGAAGGCCCTACGGCACAAACATGTTCACCGGGGTCAGCACCCCGAGCAACTATCCTCTCTACGGGCAGTTTCCCATGCCAGGATTCCCGTTCCCCCTCTGCAAGCTGACAGATACCAAAAACACTTTTGCTGACCTCTCAAAGAGCGGCATCCACCACAAGCACTGCTCTCCACACGACGGCGCTAACGGCATCAGGGTCGAGTACGCCAGGGCGCTCGGCACGAGCCCCGCCGGCATCGTCCACTCCTCCACCTACGCGTCCAGGGAGGCGGTGCGAGACGAGGAGATGAGGAAGGAGATCCACGACGGCGTCGTCCTGGGCTCGAGGAAACGGGCTTTCCCGGTGCTGACCTTTGACCACCAGAAGGACTCGGGCAAAGAGCACCCTCCTCAGGCAGAGGAGGACCTCATCCATCAGCACTATCCTCTGGGAATCTCCTCGGCCGGCCGCAAGAGCTTGGTGAGCAGCCCGCAGAGCCCCCTCAAATCCGACTGCCAGCCCAACTCCCCGACGGAGTCCAGCAGCAGCAAGAACGCCGGCCTCTCCCAGGCCGGCGGAGCACAAGGCCCGCAGGGGATGCCGGACCCCAAAGCCCGCAACTGGAAGAAGTACAAGTTCATCGTGCTCAACCAGAGCGCCAAGGAGGACGAGGGGGCTCTGAGGGACCCCGGCGTCCGCTCGCCTCAGCGGCTCGGCCTGCAGCCCTACCTCCACCCCAGCGACTCGGAGAACCTCGACCCTCAAGCCACAAGCAAGAGCAGTGACCACAGCGAGGACCTGCCCGTGCCGCAGGCCAGTCGACTCAACAACATCATAAACAGGTGAGCTTTCCTCAGGAGGCGCAGCACTTTATGGGAGCATGGTCAAACACAACAAGAGCATTTTGGAAACTTGAAACATTTTCCTGTCTACAGGTCTCTTGAGGGATCGCTGAGGAATGGCGATGGCCACCCTCCACACTACCTGAACCGCCTCAACTGCTCCACCTGCGGCTCCCAGTCGCCGCAGCACTCGGAGATCTGTCCCAAAACCCCCAGGTCCCGACTCTCCGAAGACATGGCGGAGCTCCACTCGGAATATTCGGACTCCAGCTGTGGTGCGTCTTCCGCTCCCCTCGCATGTCGGCTCCCACTCGGCGTTGCGCACGTTCAGCATTGTAATCTGCGCTTTTGTTTTTACCCACCCCGAGCAGAAAACGGCACCTTCTTCTGCAACGAATGCGACTCCAAGTTCGCGGAGGAGGAGGCTCTGAAGCAGCACATGCTCCAGGTTCACAGCGACAAGCCGTACAAGTGCGACCGCTGTCAGGCAGCGTTCCGCTACAAGGGCAACCTCGCCAGTCACAAGACTGTGCACACAGGTAAAGAAAGGGGTGAGAAAAAAGGCAAACATTTTAATTTATTTTCATTTTACGTGTGTGCCGAATTCTGAAGCGTCGTCTCGTTTTCAGGGGAAAAGCCGTATCGCTGTAATATCTGTGGTGCTCAGTTCAACAGACCAGCTAACCTCAAGACTCACACTCGTATCCACTCAGGAGAGAAGCCATACAAATGTGAGACGTGTGGTGCTCGTTTTGTGCAGGTAAACGACCCTCTTTCATAAAAACCTGGAACCAAGTGTTTAAAATAATCTGTAGACGTGTCTCAGATGGGCAGTAATTCTGGCACCAGTTCAGTTCAGCCCGATAGATTCTACTGGGCTTTAATCCATACAAAGTCATCCATACAAAAGCCCAGTTTGACAAACATCAGACCCAGTCTGGCTTTTTTTTCCCCTTTAAAACTCTCTCCTCCCTTAAAAAATGTTATGTGTCCGAACATACATTCCACAAGAGGTTTTTAAAAAAATGTTTTGTTTTTATCTTCTCATCTAGGTTGCGCATCTTCGTGCCCATGTGTTGATCCACACGGGGGAGAAGCCATACCCCTGTGAGATCTGCGGAACGCGCTTCCGACACCTGCAGACGTTAAAGAGCCACCTCCGCATACACACGGGAGAAAAGCCCTACCATGTAAGGTTAACCTAACTCACTCACGTACTCGCACCCAAGTTTTGAAAAGTCCACTAAAAATATATTTTTCCCTCCTAATTTTCTTTTACAGTGTGAAAAATGCAACTTGCACTTCCGCCACAAGAGTCAGCTGCGGCTCCACCTCCGACAGAAGCACGGCGCCATCACCAACACGAAGATCCAGTACCGCATGTCCACGGCCGACATGCCCACTGACTTGACGAAGACATGCTGAACAACGAGGGACAAACGGATTTCAGCGGCAGTCTCGACCATGGCATTTATACACCCCAACTTGTACAATCATCCAAAATTGTAGTGCCACACTGTGTACAATTAAATTGGCTTTGTATGCCATTCTAAACGGGTTTCCACTACATGTGAACGTAGAGCCACATATGGCATCTTAGTCACTTTATTGTTTATATATAGATCTGAGAATATATATATATAAATATATATAGATATGTATGGTGGGAGTGTTTTTAGGCTTTGAGGGTACAAATATAAAGCTTTATTTTGTTGAGAAGGACGGAATGTAAACAATGTGTTTTTTGAAATACAGTATTTTATATCAGAGAACTTACTTTTCTGAAAGTATTACATTTTGATCGACGAGTGGTACATATATTTTAAGATAACCGGCTTACGCGGCTGTAAAAAGTTGTCTATACATTTTTATGTGGTTGTACAGATGTGCGGGTTCCTGTACAGTTGCCATATTCACGTTAAAGGGGGGAGGGCGGGGGTGGGATGGCGTCGGATTTAGTCTAAACCGTGTCGGATGGCCGTTGCCATTCGAAGATATGCATGAGATACACTCTTACCGTTGTTGGCGTACATGAAGACAGCAACTACATAAATATCGTGACATACTGTGTTAATATATCTATGGGGATTGCTCTCTGCTGGCAGAGCCAATCTTGGTGTTGAACTGCATTTCAAGGTACTGCTTTGTATTGACCAAGACAACCATTTTTTTGCTTCAGATGTATTTGTAGGGATGTAAAAGTTTTTTGTTTTTTTTGTCGTTTTGTTTTTTTTCGTTCATGTTTTTCATAAGTGAAAGTTTACAGTTTTCTGCTCTTTGTTCTAGATCCTACAGTAAAGTCGTGTCAGTGTTGAGGTTTTTGTTTGTAGATACACTGTGTATTCAATGTGCCTTTTTCTACGCTGGCGGAATTCCTCTCTATTCAGCCCGGCTTCTATTAAGGTACAACTCAAGGACAGCATTTGTCCAAGATCCCTGTGAGACGGAGTGTGTGTGTGTGTGTGAGTGTATATATTTCTATATGCTTGTCAGTAACCTTTGAACATGCTACTTTACCATTGTACATTTTCAGGTGTTCTAATTGTTTTTGTTTTGGATTGGGCTTTTTTTTTTTAAATAACTGCATTAAGACTATTGTACGTTGTAGATGTATGAATGTAAAATAAAGTTTCTGGATTTCTATGAAGTGACACCGGAGTTTGTCGTGTTTGAGAGGAAATATGCATATGTATGCAAAGCAAGACTTGAAAATGTATTTAAAAAATGTTGTTCAATTCACTGTTTTAAGTTTAGGTTCAATCTTTTCAGCATTTCATTTTTTATATTCAGTTTCATACACATATATTCCACTCAGTACTCTGAATATGTCAAACATCCAAGCTTCTCAATTTTTGTCCAAATGAGAATTGTTGGACAGGTAGTTTTCGCTGTATCCGCATAAATTAATTAATGAGGGAAAACAATTATTTCTCTGATTTTCAATTTTTAATGAAGCAAGGAAAAATGAAAATGGCTAACAATCTCATCATTAGATTAGGGAAAGTAGCCAAAAAATGGACTTGATAAATATACCAGAAACCAATAAATAAAAAACATAACCGGCTTAAGTTTAACAGAGACTTCACAACAGGTGTTTTCCCACTGAAGCACACGAGAAACTACAGTATAAGGAGCTTCAAGAATTATTTTCACTGCTTTTTAAAAATCTTTTTTTACAGTTTACAGTGTGAAAAAAACTTTTCTCCTTTGAGTCAATTTACATACAAAGTATTATTCTTATCATTTGAAAGGGAACCCAGAATATGTGAATAAAACAATGATGGTCTCAGTTAGGAATAACAAAGCACTTTAAGTCAAATGTGAGAAGTATGCAGCAGAACAGAAATTACTTACATTCATCCATCCAGCCATCCATTTTCCACCACTTATCCGGGGTCGGGTCGCGGAGGCAGGACTCGAAGAAGGGAAACCCAGACTTCCCTCTCCCCGGCCACTTCTGCCAGCTCCTCCGGGGGAATCCTGAGGCGTTCCCAGGCCAGCCGGGACACATAGTCCCTCCAGATACTTTATAAATCATTTTAACAATAATAGATAGACAGACAGAGAGATGATGCATGCGGGAGTTAAAAATTGCTGTTTTTTTATTCCCAACATGTTGGTCTATGTATTGTTTTTTGGCATCATACATTTCTTGAAGTGTCTCCATAGTGAAACCGGCTCATCTCTTTTCTCCTACAGTTCAGAAGCTTTTCGTTCTTCTGAAACTGAACCGAGTGAATCGGACCTCGTGGCCACCGAGGAAGTTGAGTTTCAGCTCCCTGGAGTCCAGAGACTCTTTACTGGTTCTGCCTCTGCTGTTGGTCAGAGTGTGTCTTCCACTTTGGTGACTGTTTCTGCTGTCAGGGGTTGCTGTTTTTTTCTGTGGTTCTTTGTCATCTTCTGTTTGTCTTTACTCTTTTGCTTTTTGGACACAGCTTTTGGTTGTTGAAAAACCTCTCTTAGTTCAGATGTAGGTTCCTGGTCTTTAATGGAGGCCGTATCTGGTTGGGGTTCGGCAGTCTGTTTAACCAAACTTTTAAAATGTTTTAAAAGGTTTAACCAAGCTTTTGCTTATTGGACAGAGTTTTTGGTTGTTAAGTAAGCTCTTTTAGTTCAGATGTGTCTGGTTGAGACTCCTTAACCTGTTAAATCAAATATTTTCTAATAATTTCCAGTTCTTCAGATGTTGCTTCTGGTTTCTTTTCCTCCACCACTTCAGGATCGACCTCTTTTTCCTGGTCTAGACACTCTAAAGCCTCCTCCTCTCTGACTTTGGGGGTCTTTTCTTCCTCTTTAGATTCCTGGTGGTCCTCAATAAGTTTTCTTACTTTATTACTTTGGCGCCGACCCTTCTTTGACGTGTTTTTCTCCTTTGGAGCTTCAGAAACCACTGGTTGGTGTCTGGGATGACGTATTTTTCGTCCTTGTCAGTCAATTCTTGGCTCTATATTTTTCCGAAGTATCCAATTCATCATTGTGTCAAATAAAGTTTGTATCAGTTCTGCCTCCTTCTTTTCTGAATCCTTGATGATCTCCTGGGATGTTAACTTAGAGGACTGTTCGGCATTGGAGCCAGCCTTCTCCTTCCTATCTTTCTTTAACGTCTCTATCTCTTCTTCAAGCGACTGTACTGATATAGTTCTTCTATGCTTGCCTTATATGTCCTTAACTCTTCCTCACAGCTTTTTCTGAGCCGATACTCGTTCTACTGTTTTTTTTTTCATTGTCTTTAAGCTCCTTCAGTTCCAGCTCGGACTTGTAGCAATCCTCCTCCGCAACAAGCTTTCTTTCCTTCTCCTGTGACAGAATAGAGTTCTTTCTTTGCAACTTGAACGTCAGAACATCCAGTTGCTGCTCCAGATAGTTGACCTGCTCGTAGGCAGGGCAAAAGTCTTGGTCCCTGATAGTTTTGTCCCTGTCCATGATGTTGGTTGGGACCAGGGAAATCTGCTTGTGTTTCCATAGTGTTTGCAGCAAACAGCCTGACACAAATCAGCTTTTTCAGACCTTTGTAAATTACAGGCCATAAGGAATAGTTTTAAAAAAACATGACCAAAATATAAATAACTTTTATTTCCAAGTAGCATTAAAAAAAAGTAGTTTTTTTTTAACAATGTGAGAAGACCGTCAACAAAAACATCACAGCTGATCTTTACCTCATCTCTCTGGGCTCTAATATGCGTTTGGCTTTTCAACAAAAACAAAAAGATCTCTAAACCGCCTCTGAGGTAAAGGTGACTTCCAATAATTACACAAATCATTGATCGCTAAATGTCGGGAATGCACCTGAAATTCTCCACTGTTACGCAGAGCCCCGCTGGCAGGACCCCCACCGGCCGCTGGCTATTTTTCCATCTAGAAACGAAGCTAACTCAGAACTCAAACACGTCATTATTATTCCCCGTTACAAAAGTCCCACCCCAAGACTGAACCCCCCACCCCGAAGCCCTCTCCCCCTCGTCACTGCTTCTGCTGCATGGCTTCTTTTCGCGCGGCGTCCTGCAGCAGCTGAGTGTCCACCTCATCTGCCGGCAGCTGGACGTATCGGACCACGGAGCCGCGGATGAAACAGTTTTTCACAGACAGCTGAAAGAACGTGGACACAAGACAGAGCGGAGTTCAAAAGTTAAGATGAGGCAGACCATTTTTTTTTATGAAATGCAGAAAATTGCATATCCACTAGGGTTGGTACCACCATAATGTCTCCACATTGTACCCCAGTATACGGTATTACCATGACTATTTAAAAATGATGTCACCATAATAAACATATTGCCACGCCAGTATTTACTGGCTCCTCCTCATTTGCCCAGAACCAAAAATATTCTTAACGAAGAACACTTGCCATGTTTTTCTCGCTCTCTGCTCCAAATTGTCACGTGGTGACATCAAGTTCACAAACTTTATCAAAAGTTTCACTACTGGGAAAGTAAAACTGAAAATTCAACCTCATAGATAAGTGCTGCTGGACATGGAAAGCTTTTCAGACATTTATTTAAATATATCTTATATTTAATCCTCATTTCCTATATAAGCGCATTGCTTCTTATTCTTTTTTTTTTTAATGAAGCTGTTGGAACTGATACCGTTGCTTTTGAAAGATATCGCCGGTGAACTTTAGTACCGTATTACTGCCCAACCTTAATGTCCACGATACTTTTAATGGACGAGACATTTTATAGACCACATATATTGGTAACAACATGTTTAACCGGTAATTAATGTTAAATATTGTGGGACTAGTAACACAAAATCTGCCCTTTTGACTTTTTGTTTTGATCTGATATGAACCAAGAGTGCATATAGTGATGGATGTTGTAATCCTGCCAGTTTTTCAAACTGGGCTTTTGCAGTTGATATTCGACTGAACACTGCAGTTCAAAAGATTTTGGTGGACATTCAAATGTGCATGCAAGAGGATTAATAAAGATACATTCAGCTAAATTAAAACTGATCTATTATCTTGGACAAGGAAAGTTAAACACATTCATATAAAAAGAATGCTAGTGAGTACATATCATACAATCTACAAATATCAAGGCATACAAGGCTAGATTAAATGCCCACTTTTTATAGGCAGATATCCAGGAAACAGAAGAGGACGAGATGCCAAACAACCATTGGTTTGAAGAAATGTCTCTTTTTCTAAGTGAAGCGACTAAAAAAGTATTTTGTCTCAGAAAAACCCTAAAACCTACAATAAATATCCATATATCTCACAACAGTTATTCATTAATACGGTGTGGGACACTGTTTTGTTTCCAAGGGACAATTTAGCCTTATTATCCAGCAATATAACATCTGCTTATGTGTTGTTTACACAGTTAAGCACTCATCCTCAGTCTGATATTCTTTGTCCTGGTTGTACTGGGATGGTTGATCAAAGAAAGAAGCCATTGAAAAATTTGGGTCAAGACTGACAGAGTGGCTGGACACTGAATAACAGGTGGCAAACAGTGAAACTTACCATATGTGGATATTTCTCTGGGTCAGTGACGCTGATGTCTGTCAACTTAATGTTTAGATACTGAAACACACACAGTAAGATCATGTTTAGTTACTGAACAAAAATCACACACTGTAACAACTTGTAAAACGTCTTTATTTAGTACTATTTTTTAAAAATAATTAAAAATAATTCCTACCTGGTCAACAGAATGAAGCGTTCCGCAAATGCTGAAAACAGATGTGGGGACATAAATGACAACAGTCAGGGATATTTACATTTTTACACATTTAATATCTACCCTGTGTGACTGCATTTACATTTCATTGCAGATAATGTGTCATGTAATGTCTGTCTGTATAATTCAACCATAAATCAGCTTGCAAGACCAGGAAGGATAGTCGTATGTTATTTTTCTTAAATGTTATGTTAATTGGAACCTTCGGTTTAGAAATTCCCTTGTATCACTTCGAGCACTTAGCACCTTTTTTTTCCGCAAACGAGGTGTCGGAGGTTGCAGGAAATAGGGAAAAAGTGTCGTGACCAAACTGAAAAACTCACCTCAAGTCGTTTTTGAGCTCCACCACCACATCCTTCCCCACCAGCGACTTGAAAAACGAGTAGAAGAGCTGAGAAACACAATGACACGCTAATGTTAATGTTAGCAGCTATCAACGTGGAAGGATTTTTTTTTTTCAACCGACAGCCAGCAAACTATACACCCCTTATTGTAGTGCATATTCATTTACGCTAGTACCAGGTAGAACTTTAAAGTCTTTCTCTACGAGAAAACTCATTATTGCATTGAAATAGATTTCTCACCATTTTTACGGCGGCTTTCTTGTGATACTTCGTCTGCCTTTGATGACGTATCAACCCTTGGTGCGCATTGCTGTGACGCAACTGGGTGCAATTACTGAGCATTTCCACGAGATGGAGCCAGACGTATTTCCCCTCGTTCACGTTTTGGTACGGTCATGAACTTGGATCCTTGGGGAGTTTTATTGAAGTTTGTCTGGTGAACACTTTTCCCGCTTGGCTGAGGCTACAACTCCAAAACGAGAAAAGTGAAATACAAATCTTCTAAATTAGGGTTTTAGTCATATTTATATAATCCAGTGGCGGACCGTGCATTTCACACCTAGGCCTTCAGTAGTACTCCGTCTGAATTAATTCACCCCTCAATAACAATTTTATGGTTATAGAAATCATCTTATTATATAGAAATACAGTAGGGATGTCCCGATCCAGGTTATTGTATTAAAGTTGATTTTTTTTTTGTACTTACTTAGTTGTCAGACTCATGTTGAACAGGGATTTACTCTTATAACAACTAAAGTTTACACAGACTCTGTGCTCGGGTGGGATCGGACTTTAAAAAAAAAATGTATCTGGAGTCTCGATTGGCATTTTCTCATGCCGGCCGATACGATCCAAATATCGGATCAGGACAATCCTAAAATACAGTCTAAAGATCAGGGGTGCACAAGTCTTCTACTCCTGCAGCTACAGCTGCGACCCCCCCCCCCCCCCCCA